TTCACCTCTAAAGGACAAACGGCAACTGAATGAAGTTATTTACGGCTAAAACTCACGACGTGATTGGTGGTGATGGTGTGTATCAGGGCTGCCAACTCTCACGCATTGACCGTGAGACTCACGCATTTTGACCAAATCTCACGCTCTCACGCTGATCTTAGAATATCTCACGCACAGCAAAAAAATGCTGAGATATCTCACGCATGAATATCTCTTCATGCATAAAACGCTGAAATATCTCACGCACAGCAAAAAAATCTTACAATATCTGAAAACAGTCACTTTAGTATGCACCAAATTGCACAAATTGAAGTTATAAAATGCAAAAGCTCCCTACCGTGGGAGGGGGGAAACCCCCTTCCCACACCCCCCTCGGTCGCTTCGCTCCCTCGCATCTCACTTTCATCTATCACCCAATGTTGGCAGCCCTGCATATATGACGCAGACGCATCTATCTACGCACTCGTATATCGCAGTCAGACTGTATATCGGTAGAAACCAACCCGTGTGTTATATTTATGACATATAACTATGTTTATGTTGCGCACGACTTCTGTTTTCTCATTAGGATCACCAGCTGCGTCACGGTCGTCTTCGCCACTGATATTTGCAAAACAAATTCAAGGTAGGCCTAAGCTATGATGCTGCTAAAGTAATATTATGCTTCTGTGTTAGAGCAATGTGTTAGTGACGTGCATGGCATCGCGTGCATGACGTCATAGACTGGGGATTTTCCCCAGACACGGATGGATTAAAGCAGGAGTGAATAAACCCGAATTTTGCTTTTATTCAATCCTGATGCTATTTATATTCCCAAACTGCATGGGAACTTGTGGACTCAAATGCGCCATATTTACACCTCAACGCTCTCTGATATATTGATGAAATATGCCATTTTAGTACGCTATTGCGAGTACGACTTTAAATGGAGAAAAAATCATTCACTATTTGTGTTCACTGGCCGACAGTTATTGCAAAAATAGCTAGCGTAGGCGTACTTATACGTGCGTACGCACGCACGCACGCACGCACGCACGCACGCACACACTCACACCCCCAACACAAGCACGCACGTACGCACACACGTACATACGTACATACGTACATACATACATACATACATACATACATACATACATACATACATACATACATACATACGTACATACGTACATACGTACATACATACATACATACATACATACATACATACATACATACATACATACATACGTACGTACGTACGTACGTACATACATACATACATACATACATACATACATACATACATACATACGTACGTACGTACGTACGTACGTGCGGCACCACATTCTGTGGCTTCATAATGTTTCACGAGCTGGCAGTGCGCATTTTCGTGGTATCCCCGAAAGCTGCCGAGCGTATGATGAAGACAGCGGAGACGATATACACATCAGTCGAGAGTACTGATATAAGAACGTGTGTACTAATGTGGGTTTACGTAAAGTAATTGGTAAGGATAAGTATAATGGATAAGTAATAATGGATAATGGATAATGTAATGTAATCATAATGTAACGTAAAATAATAATAATAGTAATTAATGTAAATAAATGTAATGTAATCAGGAGTGAATAATAATAGATCTATATAATATATATGTATATATATATATATAAATAAATATAAATATATATACCCATAATGCAGGACTGCATGCATATTAAGCAGCAAAGTAATATTAGTGAGGGAATATAAAGGGAACGGCATATGAGACCGCATGTACGCAATTTATTTGCCATTATCTATGCAAAGAACACTCGTCTGATGGCGTTTTTGGCTTAAATTCGCCTCGTTTCTGAATGCCAGCTAATATTGTCTATGTTCACCTTTGTTCGTGATGGAAAACTAGATCAGGAATGGGCACATCTGTCCCATGGCGGCATGGCAAATGAAAAGGGAATTTCGCAATAGGCCATTGATAGGCCAATAGGCCAGCATTGATTCTCGTTGAAAATCTTTTACCATGTACATTATGCATAATTGTGGCATGATTGAAAATGATGCAAGTTAGCTTGGTGAATCGAAATGCTAAAAGAGAAACACAGTATTTAAGAAAGTTCATTCAAAACGTGTATTTTGACTACTCAGTTACACTTAACTACCTTTGCCGTATTTTTTTTTAAAGTTTAGTGCGCAATTGACAACTGTTTCGTCTGAAAAGTCTTCTCTCGCTCTCTCTCTCTCTCTCTCTCTCTCTCTCTCTCTCTCTCTCTCTCTCTCTCTCTCTCTCGCTTGCTCTCTCGCTCTCTATCTTTCTCTCGCTCGCTCTCTCTCTCCATCTTTCGCTCTGAATATCTGATATCAATGCATATTTTAGCTCCGCCTCTTAGTTTTACTTCAACAATTCTAGACCTGCAGTTTGTTTTGATGAATCCTACCGTAGAGAATGTCGATTCACACGCCCTCGTCGATCTAAACACAGATAGTTATTTCGAAAATTTCAGATTTCAAACTTTGGCGATCGATCATTGTCGGTCATAATAGATTCTCTGATCTCTGCGATAGTACTAAAATTACATTTTTTCGTTAGAGCCAAAATATGACAAACTCGAATTCGCCCGTTTCATCGCCAATTCTTGTTCAATAGCCTTGCTACTTGTGTCGATTAGCAACAGTGTTCTCCATACTGGTCCACTGACTAGGATTACACGTACGCCGTTGTCCGTATCCCGTGCAACGTGTAAGGTTCTATATCTATTGTAATATGCTAATTGTAGCGTGGAAGGCGATTGGGGATAATGAGATCCTAGATCCTGGATCCCTAGTGAAGGGCGAGGTGCTGAGAAATGATCACTTTCATGTAATCTCAGTGAATATCGTCGATCCGATCCTCTCTTGCGTGGATACAATTAGCCTGACGGTCCGGATAGCATGCGCCGAGAATCGTAGCGTTGCTATATATATAATAGGAAATCTGTGAATGGTGTAAGATGTCGGTGGCTTTGTAAACGAGTTAATTGGTTGCTGTGACATTTATTCACCTATCTCGCGTGCATGTCTGTCTGAATAGGTGGGAGCGTGTGCGTGTGTATTTGTGTGAGTGCGTGCGTGTGTGCGTGGTTGGGTGGATAGGTGTATATTCTATCTTTGCTGTCCTGGAAGCGTCTGTATGACCAACGAACATATCACCGGCATGCAGATTTAATTGTAATTTTATTATATAAGCAAGATAATAATATATCTGCCCGGGAGGGGAATCTTTAGCACAGCCTCCGAGGTGCTATTTGTACAGCCGATATTATAATTACTAGCGAAATGGCAGCTATAAGTAGCGTGGGTAATAATGGCGGGGTTTACCGAACTAACGTTGGCGGAATCCATAATATATGGCATTAGGTGACATTTTAGTGTCATATAAATGTTCAATATCACACCGATGTGTAGGGTGGTCCCCACAATGGACTATACCGCCACCCAGCAAACGCACGGGTGTCTATGCGAAAACATTTTGTCTTCGGGGCGAAGAATGCAAACCTCTGTGCAAGTGTGCACGCATTGTAGAACAAACGTCGCGAATGGCGTGTGGTCCGATTGCTTTATTTTGATGTGCAATTACTATCAGTGATAGTATTGATATACTCATAGTAGAAAAAATAGTAGTAGCGACTACAGCAGCAGTAGTAGCAGCATAGCAGCAGTAATCGCGAATACAGCAGTTTGTCTGCGAGTAGAGAATAGTTTACGCGTATATAGAGTAGTTTACACGTATAATAGTTTAAAAAATAGTGACACGATGTTTGTTATTTCAGCCCTAAAGGCGGCCCTGCTGATCCAGAACTGGTATCGGCGCTACGTGGCGCGGCTCGAAGCTCGGCGAAGGGCAGCATGGAACATCTACCAGACAATAGAATACTCAGGGGAACAGGATCAGCTAAAGGTACTTCTTTTTTACGAACTGATTCCCGAAGTCACCACCACTGTAGAATTTGGAAGGTGGCGGGAGGAATTTTTACTACCAGTGTAAACGACCGAAGGATCCGCTGTTCATATCGAAATCTGATTGGTTGGGAATGTCAAGTGACTTTCAGGATTTTCGAACGTTTTCCGAAGATGTCTGACTTTCTGCGAAAAAATGTCGCAACAACTGAAACGACAATAAACAGCCCGTCAAGAAAAATTATCACTACAAACAGAAACTTTTTAATTTGCAGTAATTGTTGTAGGTGCGTATGGCGGTATAACCTGTAAGCTATCTCCACTGGGGCTAATGTCATTTCTACGGCTACTATTGGGGACATTTATACTCTCGCATTGTAAGAAATATATTGAGAGGTATAACCCAGAATGTATATTTTGAGTAGATAAAACATAACTGATGTTATATTCCACGCACTGAAAACAGAAAAAAACAGCAGGTTTTAACCGTTACCGCACATCCTTTCGTTTGATGCATGGCACTATAATAATATAGACAGCATAATATCTACCTTGGTTTTTACGTAATGTGCCATTTATATATGCATACGTACAGCACATTTCAGCGTACGGTTATCAAATGCATAACACAGAAATATACGTTCCGTAATAATATCTGGGCACGGATATAATAACTAAACTGGGAACGGCATAAATAAAGCGAGGATGAGCGCTTGCATCACGGAAATGACGCGCCGCATCACTCGTAGGTCGTGGATGCTAATAAAACATCATGATGAAGCACATTAATTGCGCTGATTAGGTGCAAAAACTCCTATACTGCTCGTGGTTCGTGGGAGATCGTGATGCTCTTTTTCGTGATAACGATCGTTATAATTAGTATTATTCTCGTGCTGCGTGCCATTCGATGCGTCTGTGACTATATACGGTGCATTTGCGACGTATACAAAGCTCGTCTATAGCCACAGCGTCATGTTTTCTTTTTCAGCTGTATAACTTCTTTAATGACATGATCGATCATATTTCCATGTCGGAGCCCGGAAAGGACAAATTCAGTAATCTCGTCTCGCCGACATCAGGGAGATTCAAAGCGAATGGTGAGTTTTTCTCTTTGCGTGTGCACACTCGTAACCAGACTCTGCGAGAGACTGAGTACGAGGATGACATATACTGCCATACGATCGAGATTATGAGTTAGGCTGTTCGTTGCCCCGCGCATTTACATGGTGGTACACTGACACTGACCCGACCCCACCCGATCCGACCCGACCCGACCCGACCCGACTCCCTCACTGACCGCGCGTATATGCGTGCGTGCGTGCGTGCGTGCGTGCGTGCGTGCGTGCGTGCGTGTGTGTGTGTGTGTGTGTGTGTGTGTGTGTGTGTGTGTGTGTGTGTGTGTGTGTGTGTGTGTGTGTATATATATTATATATATATATATATAAATATATCAGTTCATATTTATAAATATAATATGCCCACCCGATTCGTGCCATACCAGCGGCTCGACCGAGTGGTCTGTTAGCCCCCCCCCCGCCCCCTCTCTCTCTCTCTCTCTCCTCTCTCTCTCGCTCTCTCTCTCTCTCTCTCTCCTCTCTCTCCTCTCTCTTCTCTCTCTCTCCTCTTCTCTCTCGCTCTCTCTCTCTCTCTCTCTTCTCTCTCTTTCATTCTCTCTCTTCTCTCTCTCTCTTTTCTCCTCTCTCTCCTATATAATATAACACTATATATATATATATATATATTATATACTAAAATATACTATTACATATATCTGTTATAGAGTTAACAGAAGATATCGGTCCAGCATAGAATGAAACCCTTTATAGTATATTACATTAAATAATTAACATCACATAAACGACTAGCTAAACCCCAAATAGCGTTTCTGCCAGACCGAGATAGGCACGGCATGTAATGTTATACAGTCGTTACGGTGGATGCACTAGATTTAATATCAATGCTGGAAATTTTGCCAATTTTGCCTAATATCCCAGTTCTGGAAGTTTCTTGATAATAATACCCCGTGGGATAAGTTCTGGAGGTTTCATTGTGTGATATAAAATCACATGCAAACATTTAGTAAAAATTGTCTATTTTTAATGCACAAGATCTATAGCTAATATTTCTTCATGTATTGTATAATTTTTTCTTGTAATGAAGAATAATAGTATGCTCATGTATGTACTCTCTCTTCAACTGTCTTATGCATGTAACCTGTAAAATAGTTGACCATCAGAGAAATTATGCTACCATCACAGTAATTGCCAGATATCTTGTAAAAACTCAAATGTATTTCGTACATATATGTATTTCTGGAAATAAAGGTCATTATAAAAAAAAGTTTTGGAGGTTTCTGATCATCGTTATCATGAGGCTTAATTAGTATATGAAACGAACAGCCGCTGAAGCCCTCACGCACGTATGCACGTGAGCGCAAACACACGTACTCGCACACGGATTACTTATCAATTATACGTTATTACATTAGATTAGATCAGATTAGATTACATCACGAGTGAATAATAATAGATTTATATTTATATATATATATTATATATATAATACATATATTAATCTATATTATATATAATATATATACATATATACTAATATAGACATTATTATTCACTTCTCTGATACATTATCAATTTATTTACCTAATACTATTATTATATTTAACGTATAACATTATGATTACATTACATTATCCATTATCCATTATTACTTATCCATTATACTTACCTTAACAATTACTTCACCTAAACCCACATTAGTATCACACGTACTATATCAGACCTCGACGATTGTGTAACATCGTCTCCGCGTCTCATCAATACACTCGCAGCTTCGGAATACCACGAAAATGCGCACGCAGCTCCGTGAAACATATGAAACCACAGAATTGGGCCGCACGCCACTACTACGTAAACTACGTACTACGTACGAACGTAGTATGTACGTATGTATGTATGTATGTATTATATATGTATGTATTATGTATGTATGTATGTATGTACGTAATGTAACTAATGTACGTGTTGCGTACTGCGTGCTGTTTGGGCTGTGAGTGTGTGCGTGACATGCGTGCGTGCGTGCGTGCGTGCGTACGCAACGTTAACAGTACGCCTACCTAGCATTTATTGCAGTAACTGTCGCCAAGTGAACCACAAATAGTGAATGATTTTTTCTCCCATTTAAAGTCAGTACCGCATACGCGTAACTAAAAGGCATATTTCATCAATATATCAGAGAGTTGAGTTAAATATGCGCATTGAGTCCACAATCCCTGCAGTTTGGAATATAAATAGCCATCAAGGATGAATAAAAGCAAAATTCGGTTATTCACTCCTGCTTTAATCCATCCTGTCTGAAAAATCCCCAGTCATGCACGTCCATGCACGCGAATGCCATGCCACGTCACTATCT